TTTGAAAATCACACCATCATGGGTATTAGCATGAATGTTCTCTCTCCATTCATCTGGTATTGCAGAGATTAGGCCTTGTATAGTATGGTATTCTGTCAAAGTGATACCTTTTACCTTCCAATATTGCCAGTCATGAAAGTTTCCATAGAAATCGATTAGGTCTATTATTCTTAATACTTTTTTCCTTGCCAAACTTTCCAGATAGACTGTACGAAAGCCAATTTTTAAAAATCTATTGTTCCATAATATTTGTTTATCAATTTCAGATGTTGTTTTTGGAGTGTATGATGTCAGAGATGACCATTCCCGGATAATATCATAATAAAAGGGTGGGATTTGATTTTCAAATTCTGATTCATCATATAGTATGATTATGAATATAATTTATAATCTGTGTTAATGCTCAATTATGACATGCATTGACCAAGCTGGCATCCCCCTTTCATATTTTGACACCTCCCATGCCACATTGTACTTCATGCAATATTTGCTCACATTTCGTCCTTCAGTCGGATTTACATTAATTAACACCAGACTGTTCATTCGCTTATCCGTGCTCGCATCCTCTTCAAGCATCAGTTCATTTTGCCGCACCGTACGATACACATCGTCTCAGCAGAATTCCTTGCTAAAGCATCTCAGCCATTCATTTTGTCACAAATACCAGTTCTTCTTCACAACATCCAGTTCCAACATGCCTCGAGGACGCGGAAGATCTAACACCAGCCGTGGCGGTCGCAAGTCTCAACGAAATCGTCGTACTCCAGCTCGCTTCCAAAATGTTGCGACTATAGACGTAACTGACTCACCTCCGCAAGAATCGTCAGCACACAATGGAGATCCCACTGTACTACAGTCCACGAACTTCCCCAGCGATGTCATCACAGTTAGCAGAAGCGAACTCGCAGATCTCGTTCGTAGCCTACAACAGCAAGGAAACTGTCAAACGCAGCCGAATAATATTTCGCAACCGCCGGCTGCTCCACAACTGTCGGCAAGCCTCGTGTCATCACGCGACCCAAGCCAAACAACGCCATCAAGTTCGACGCCAACTGACTCTCTCACAAATAACAGCCTTCCGATTACCTTGCCAATAGCTAGTCAACATAATGCGATCGTACACAATAATACCGCTCATCAAGACAATTCGATGTTTCAACAACTTCCAGCTACTACAAGCCAAGCATCGCTAGCTCACGCTAATCCTAGTCAACAAAGTTTTGCTACCGGGGGTCATTTCAACGCAACCAAAATGGCCGCTCCCATACAACGTTTCGCCGGTGAGGGCATTCTCACTTCCGCTTCCGGTATCAACACTGCGACACAGGCGATGCCGATGATGAACAATGCCAGCATTGCAGTTCCTCCTATCATCCCACCTGCAGACTTGTTTTTACCATACGTCGACCAGCAAATACTCAATCAACTAGCAAACCGGGGTAAGTTTGTTGATTTGTCCGATTTACACCCTGACTCAAGAAAACCAAATGCCACCCAGATCTCAAACACCCGAGTGGCTTTGGACTCTGATGATCCCTCAGTCGCTGTTCTCTCAAAACATGCAAAAAAGAATGAAATTCGCGATTTAGCAAACTGGCTAGAATGTGGTCAACATTTGCTGTCTATAGGGCACATATTTTCCCCCATGAGCTGTACATCTATTCAACTACCAGCGTCACATCGCCAGCCGAGCTCTTGAGTTCAAGCCAGAAGCATGGGTCACCTATGACAAGGAATTCCGTCTAGATTACTCACGTTACCCTGGCCTACGGAACTGGAGTTTGCCTAACAACCAACTTGATTACAAATTCTGTCAACAAAAACTCCATCTGCTCATTCCAACATGTCCTGACTGTCATAAAAAAGGTCATACCAAACAGGAATGCCAATGAAGCAGGAATCCTCATACATGGGTGAACGAATCTGCTGACAATTATAACAATACAGCGTGCCGTAATTTCAATCAAGATCGCTGCGAAACTCCATGCCGGTATAATCGTCTCCACATTTGTTCGTCTTGCCACTCTGCAGGCCACACTGCCACTAGCCACCGCGATCGAGACGAAAAACCATCTTCCTTAATTTGGGGCCACTTGTGGTATGGTCTTGGAATACGGTTTCACTGCGATAACATATCAGTCGTCCAAATATGGAAAAAAGGCTCCTCATCATGTCCACGGATTATGCAACTTGTCCGACTGCTGTTCTTTACTGCAGCATCTAATAACTTTCATGTTGGGTCCCAACCAAAACTCCAGACCTGTGCACCCTCTTAACGGTTCCGATGTGCGACGTAGTTCCGTCAACCTCACACAACAAGCCTGCCACTACATCAATCTGAGCATTGCACCAGGTACACGATGGACATATCATGCAGGACAAACTCGCTATCTTCTCTTCTGTCGCATGTATGGAATGAATCCTTATCCACTAACGCAACGCTCAACGATTCTGTTTATGACACATCTCTCAACGTCGTCACTTACCTATGGTAGGCTAAAAGTTTACCTCGCAGCTATCATCCGTGCACACATCGAAGCTGGCTTCACCTCATTAATACGCGACGACCTCCTGCTTCACTTCACTTCACTATGCAAGGCATTAAAAGACATCACGGCGTGCCAAAACGTGTAAAACTCCCAATCACCATTGCACTGATGCGAATTCTTAAGGACACCGTTGCAAACCATCCCACTATTTGCAACCATGACAAAGCTATTTTGTGGTCTGCCTTCACACTGGCGTTCTTCGGCTTCTTGAGAGTCAGCGAATTTGTCGCACCCGCGTCAACCACCTTCGACCCACAATGCACTTTACTGACGACAGACATCACTTGCAACACAGACCTCGTCATTGCGCTCAAGGCTTCTAAGACAAACCCATTCCGCCGGGGATGTAACATCATCATCGCACCCTCACAGTCATCGGTCTGCGCTGTGCAGGCATACCAGGCGTACAAAGCACTACATAGTTCTGTCGCTCACCTACCTGCATTCCAGTTCGCCAACAGTACTTTCCTCATGCGCCAAGCTGTTAGCAACCACATTCAAGACCTTCTCACTCGCGCATCTGTGCCAGATGTTAACTGTTACACTACTCACAGTTTCCGCAGTGGTGCAGCCACGACAGCTGCCGACGCAAATCTCCCGGACTGGTTGATCAAGGCACTGGGCAGGTGTGCAGCGACGCCTACCAGACTACATAGCACACCCCCCAGCATATCCGCTCAGTTCCGGGTCAGTGTCCAATTGCTGACTGCTCTTCTTTTAACTGTATCTTCGTCATTTGTTTTGAGATTTCATTTCGTTTTCGCTACATGTATTTGCAGTGTATTTAGTATAATGTTTTATCGGTCTAACCATGCTTTGTTTATCTTATCGCGATAGACTTTGTAAATTTATCGGTTTCTTTAGCGTGTTTCTTTTTCTTATTTACAGTATGTTCGTTATGTTGCTGTGCAAGTTTTTCAATTTGTTTTTTTTTTTTTTTTGGTAAATTATCAGTTAGTTTTACTCTTCGTGTAAAGCCCATCTCCCGCTACACATCATCCTGCCTTTAAATTTGGGGGTTTCCACCACAGACCAAGCAGACTTTACACGGGTACCCACGCTGTCCATCCCCCTGGGGTTGTGAGTCTATCTGCAGGCTCCCGCCAGGGGGACGCCAGCCATGACGCCCGCCTGTACAGTCTCTGCTGATGGAAGGTTGCAACCAGGTACCACGCGCTCAGCGTCATGATGCAATTCACAGGCGAGTCGCATCATGGAGCTGTTCGCTGCGACGCCTGCGTCCGCAATTCGCTCCCCCTTCCACTTTTGCCAAAACCTTGTGTCTTGTGTCATTTATTGAAGCATTAATAGTATGATTATGAATATAATTTATAATCTGTGTTAATGCTCAATTATGACATGCATTGACCAAGCTGGCATCCCCCTTTCATATTTTGACATCTCCCATGCCACATTGTACTTCATGCAATATTTGCTCACATTTCGTCCTTCAGTCGGATTTACATTAATTAACGCCAGACTGTTCATTTGCTTATCTGTGAACGCATCCTCTTCAAGCATCAGTTCGTTTTGCCGCACCGTACGATACACATCGTCTCAGCAGACCTCCCACCCACCCATTCATGCAAAGGTCTCTATATAACCACTTGCTATATCATTACCGATCTCACTCAAGTGTAACTCATGTTTATCTGCTCATGAACACCTTAGCAATAAACAGGTAAGGGGGTTTCCACCACAGACCAAGCAGACTTTACACGGGTACCCACGCTGTCCATCCTCCTGGGGTTGTGAGTCTATCTGCAGGCTCCCGCCAGGGGGACGCCAGCCATGATGCCCGCCTGTACAGTCTCTGCTGGTGGAAGGTTGCAACCAGGTACCACGCGCTCAGCGTCATGATGCAATTCACAGGCGAGTCGCATCATGGAGCTGTTCGCTGCGACGCCTGCGTCCGCAATTTGCTCCCCCTCCCACTTTTGCCAAAACCTTGTGTCTTGTGTCATTTATTGAAGCATTAATATATATATATACATATACATATATATATATATATATATATATATATATATATATATATATATATATACCAGCAGTTCGACAAACAAAGCAAATATATATATTTTAACCATGAGTGACTTATTTTTCATTTCAGAGAATTCTACTTGGTCGTTGATAAACGTACAAGGTAACGCTCCCACCGAGCGAGGGTGCCACACATTTACCGCTCACAAAGACAAGTATGACCGTGTCATGG